GTTGAATGAATGAGTGAGTCCTGGATCTTAGTGTGACCTGAGGCAGGCTGCTTGCTGTAACCACCAGCACTCACCAGTGCCTCCTAGGCCACCACGAGGGAGTCTCTTACCTGGAAGGCTCCTTGGACAAGTGGGGCAAGCTTACCTCTTGGGGAGCACATGGGTCTTTCCTACGTAAGCCTGTGTGCAAGCACCGACATCATATAAAATAAGTCACATTGGTCCTACAGTCAGCCCTTGGACTCCACGGAATCTCCAGCTCAGGCCCAGCTACAGCCTGGTCATGGGACCCCTGCCCCCGGAAGAAACATGCTCCATGGCAGGTAGCAATTATAGGTATAACAACTATAGACATAATTTTCCCGCTGGTTGGCTGCTCCGAGTGGCACTTGCAGAATTTAGATTGTGCACATTAATGTGCACACACAGTGCCCATTTCTCTCTCTAGAAGAGCATTCACAAAAGATTTTTTTTCTTTTTTCCTAATTTTCCTAAGTTCTAACCATAAATCCTGGGTTTGACTTGGTAAAAAGACCCCACCTGGTCCTCGTGAGCACTGAGGCGGCCAGCTGCGTCTGATGGCTGTGGGGGGCAGGGGACCCTGGCCACAAGAAGGAGCTGGCTTGCAGGCTCGGCGCAGCTCTGTGTGGACCACCCCAAGCAGAAGGCATTAGGCCAGTCTGGAAGCACAGGGCACTGTTTTCCCGCTGCCCCTCTCCTGGCTTCTGCCATGGGTTAGTGCCACTGCAAGCCACGGCTGAGGGAATGAAGATCACTGAGCCAATGGCGCTGCTCCAGGAGCAGTGGTGCACTGCCTGGGGGCCACACAGTGCGGTAGGGAAGGCCGTGGCCACTTCCCTGGGCCTGTGAAAGGTGCCTATAGGTGTGAGCTCTGTAAATGTCTTCTTTTCCTCCAAGAGCAAACTACAGACACAAGCAGATTTGGGTCTCTCTTGATGTCAGCAATTACAAACTTTACATGTGCACTAACATAAAAAGGTGTTAGAATATCAGAAGCAGAGTAGTACATTCTTCAAGGCCAGCTGCTCCACCTTGAGAGAAGGGAAGGGGTGAGCACCGGGTGAACTGGGGTATCTGTCACAAAGCAGTCTTTTGTATGTAACCTGTCATAACCAGGCCACTGCAGAGTCCCCACTGGGAAGAAGATAGCCACACACCTGCTTTCCTACAGCCACAGCAAGATGCAGTCCCAGAGGACAGGTCTGGTGACCTTGGACCGGGTCTTCTCCCAACCAGGTTGCATCCATGGTCATTCCACAAGCTGCTCCCGACATCCATGGCCTTCAGGAGGAGCCAGGGCCCTGGACTGCCTCTTCCTTTTCGCTGGGCTCAGAGCACGCCCATCCATGAATCCCCAGCCGCAGGGGCTCAGTTCTGTTTTGCCTCCTGTCTCCTCTCCTGCTGCATGGCACCAGGGGGGAGTTCCTCAGGGACCTTCATGAACCATGTTTGTGGTGTGGGAGAGCCATCAGATGAACCCAGTTGAGCACAGATGGCTAGCATGTACACCAGAATACGAAGTCCTTGGGACAGAGAGAGAGGGGCCCCAGGCTACAGTCCATCCTGGTCAGATGTGCTCCCCTCCCTGGGCATAGTGGGCCCCCATCATGGGCTCCCTGGACACCACCTGTGTCCCTGGCTGCAGTCCAAGCACACATGCTGTGTGGGTGGGCTGTATTCAGAGTGGCTCCTGGTAGTGGCCTCAGTATGGTGGTTGGATGGAAGCTGGAAAGCTGGGCCTCCAGTACCTGAGAGCCAGGGCCTGCTGGCTCCTTTTATACCATCTTAGAGGCTCAGAAGTGACCTAACCATGATGGGATGACAATAGCTCTTCTACTGAGATTAAGCCTGAGAAAAGGAGACGGCTTCAGTGGCTGATTCTCCCAGGTCTCACCCAGCAGACCATGGTGCTCCCAAGGCAGGTCTGGAACAACCCTCCCAATACTATGAACACTGGGAACACAGCCATCTGGGCTCTTCCAACAGTGGGCAGAACTCCCAGGCCCAGGGATAGATGCTCCAAAGCCTTCATCCTTCCCTCAAGTGAGGGACAGAGAATCTTCCCGAGAAGCTGGAGATGCTGAGGGGCAGGGGGGTTTCCATTCTTGATTTTCCAGGCTATGATCCAAATGCCTTTCATCCGTGCTTTAAAAAAAAAAAGAAAACTAAACTAAACTAAACTAAAGCTGACCACCAGCCTAGAAGCATTTATGCTCAGAAGTGTCCACTCCTGACACCCATCCTGCTCCTGCTCCCCCAGACAATGGGGGATTCAGGCCACAACTGGTTAACTGTGCAGGGCGAATTCGAGCCGGCAGTGCAGGCTGACTGTCTTCACTCAGCACTGTAATCGGCACATCTGCAGACAGGAAATCCTCCTCGCTGCGAGTTCCCAGTCTATTATCTGAGACACCTGGTGTGGGTGGGTGATTCAGAGACAAACAATGAGAGGGCCCCCTGCACAGCAATTAACTGCTTTAACTGCTAATGTGTTTAATCCACCACGTGGAGATCAAGGCTGCCCGGAGGAAGGGGCTCAGAGTCCTCCTTGGCTTTCAGACTGCAAGGCTGACTTTGCCATCCGTACATCCACTGTCCTTGCCAGCTGTGGCCCCGGCATCAGGCACAAGGGCATCTGGGCTAGGCTGGCGCTCAGTCCCACGGGAGGTCCTTGCAGCCCTCAGCGTGTGTCCACAGGGCACGAGGGGTGTCCTTCCCTTTTGTGTGTTTAACTGATGTCAAAGTCCAGCTCACTGCTAGGAAGGGATGTCTGGTCCAAGAGTTCTGTTGTGCCAGCCGTGTGGCCCCCAGGGCATTTTATTTTAACCCCCCGGATTGAATCATCCTTCATTGCAAGCAGAAGTAGTGCCTAGTTCAAGGCTTGCTGCGTAAATCGGCAGAAAACATTCCCAGTTGTTACACAGGGAAGTGGCTCCTGATGTTTACAAAACCTGCCGGGAACGAGCAGCGAAGTCAGCACAAGCCCGTGCAGCCCCAGGAGGCGTGCCAGAAACCGCCGCCACAGCGCCGCCTGGGGAAGCAAGGTCAAAGGCCAAGGACTGCGAAAAGCTTACACCCCCAGCATCAATCATGCCGGGCAGACTGTCTGGGGATGCTCTTTTTGAAAATACAAAAAATAAAATGAACTCCTGGTGGGGGAGGGCAGGCATGCATGTTGGGGGACCTTGTTTGTTATCCACCAGGCCCCATCTGGAAGCTGGGGAACCCTAAAGCTTCCCGAGGGCACAGCCCCTTGCCCTCTGAGCTGCTGCCATCAGCATGGCCTCAGCAAGTAGCTCTGGGTGCAGGCTAACACCTCAGTGCAAAGGTAGAGACCAGGGACATGGGCACAGAGGGACATCAGAAAATAAAGGGGTACTGCTGGGGTGCAAATGGGAGGGGAGAAACATGCCAACTCCCAGTTAGAACACAGTTTAAGATATTAAATGTCAATTTACATTTCTGGATCTGAATAGTTATGCAATCTTTCATAGTGTTCATCAGAATAAACCTATTTTTTTTTTTTATCCTCACCCGAGGACATTTTTCCATTTTTTGTTCAGATAGAGCAGGAGGGAGAGAGAGGAAGAAAGAGAGGGAGAGAGAAACATCGATGTGAAGGGACACATCGAGTGGCTGCCACCTGCACGACCAACCAGGGCCGGGGACAAACTGCAAGCGAGGTACGTGCCCTTAGCGGAAACTGAACCCGGGTCTCTCTGTACCGCAGGCCGACGCTCCAACCGCTGAGCCAAACTGGCCAGGGCCAGAATAAACCTATTTAAAATTTACTTTTATGATTTGATCAAGAATATTTCCTTTGGTAATTTACAGAATTTTCATAAAGATGCACTAAATCCACCCTGGGGTATTTCAAATCTGCTCGTGTTGACCAGACAAGTGAAGAGCTCTGACTCCTCTGGAGTTTAGTTCACCTTGTGATTTCCAGTCGCTCTAAGTGACTCGGGGAAACAGGCTTTTCCGAAAGGCATTCTCTTTGATGCAGCCCCGCTCCTCAGATGGAGCACTGGACCTAGCAACCAGGTCTTCACAAACACTGAGGGGACAGCCCCTCTGAGTGACAGCCCCTCTGAGTGCTCAGTAACCACGTGCTTCATCGACATGGAGCCCGGGGACAATTCTGTTCGCCACATGGATTGAGTCCTGGCTCACAGAAGAGGGACAACTGACCAAGCAGAGAAAACCTTTCAAACTGAAAATATCAAGCACAAGCAAGACCTTGATTGCTCCAACTTTTCACATGCAAGTTGATGGGTGATTAGGAAACAAAACTCTAACCCCAGAAGCCACAGCAGAAGCGTCCCAGCAGAGATCAGGCTCCTGATGGCATGGTATCTGGGTGTCCAGTTCTTCCCATCCAGCTCCAGGTCTTTCCTCAAAGCCCATTCCCCTCCCTCAGACCAGCTCAGATCCAGGCCCTGAGCAAGGGTCTTTCCCCTCCCTCCACATCCACATTCTCTACCCTTCTCCTCAGTGGGGCGGCCACTGAGTGCAGGGAGGGCCCAGCCTGGGAGGGAGTATGCACTGCAAGGTGGGCAATGGGCTAGTTCTGCATAGCCACACTTGCCCAAACTTCCCCCCTACCGAAAGCTGCCCACAGCTTCCCAGAGAACTGGAAGATGAGAACACAGCTCACGCCTGCCTGGAAAGGGCCTTTGGTCTCTGCCCTATCACTGGATGCTGTCTTTGGAAATCTGCAGTGTGATTTCTGGAAAGGCTGGTAGAACAACCCCTCCTGGCATGTGATGACCTGCATAGCTCAAAGCAACCCACTGGGGAGCATCGGAAGCAATCCCACAAGTCTATGACGGCCCAAGAGGTGCACTCTGCAGCGTCCAACCCACCTAAGAGCCAGCAGGATGAGGGGAGCCCCTGGAGGCAGTGTGAAGGGGGGCAGTGCCACCGCTCTCCACGTGTGTACACTCATGCACGTGCACTTATGGCTCGAACACCCTTACCTGTGGCCCACAGGACGGTATTGAAGGTGTCCATGTCCTCCCTGCCAGAGGCGAGATCCTTCCAGGTGACCTGAAGCTGGTTGTCCTGGAGCTTCCTCACTCTCAAGGGGGTGCAGCCTCTCAGAAAGTGGGTTCCATGAGAGGCCATGTGATCTGTGACCAAGGATGACATTTGCTGCAAGGCACAAGAGGACGCGCTGTGAGGACCAGGTGTCAGAGAAAATGTCGCTCCTGATGACTGGGAAGAGAGGACCCGGCCGCCTGCCTCCTTGAAAAGGCCCTGAGGTAGGGGCAAGAGGGGTCTGTTCCAAGGAGAGGGTTCGGTGCCCCACCCCTTCTTCTCCTGCCCCACGTCCAGGTCCCCTTGTGCTCTGTGGAGCTGAGAGAAGAGCCAGAAGAGCATCTGACACACCCTTCCTCAACCCCCAGCTCCAAATCTGAGAACCCTGAGCCCTTAAGTTAGGATGCTCTTCACCTTTGGCTCTTCTTTAGATGCTAATTAACTGTCTTCACTGAAATCAATGACAAAAAAGCACCCCTTTCTCGTGGGGGCTCTGCTCTACCTGAACCAGATGGGGCTCAGCTCCCTCACTGAGTGTGGTCAGCAACTCTGCCACTGGGGAACTGGGACAGTAAGTGGGCACCTCTGTTCCCCACCAAGAAACACGGGGGTAGTGGGTGTTGTGGGAGGCGGGTCATCTGTACAGGGGCTCCTTCTTCCCAGCCCAGGAGACTCTGTACACCCAGGCTGCGACGGGGGGCCCAGCTCCTGGCGCCACTGTGGGGCTTGCCACAAAGGTGCAGTCAGCCACAGCTTCTCTTTTCAGGAGAAAATAAAAGACACTGTTTAAACCCTCTGCCATCTGCTTGGGTGCACCAGCTCACCTAGGGACGGTACACCAGGAGAAGCCCCGCCTATCTGGGATTGTCGCACCGGCCACAGGAACAGGTAGATAGGCTTCCTGTCCCGTCTGGATCCCTCTGGACTCCTGACAGGCCTGGACATCCCTGTCACAGTCTGAAGGGGAATTGCTGGGCCCTCTTGAGCCACAGGGCCGGTCCACCATCCCTAGGCCTGCCACTGAGGCTGCACATCCTTCTTATTGAGGCATAGCCTCAGTCACCTGACCGTGCCACTGTACCTCTCCCAGGGCACACTTGGAGCCTGCTCCTTCTCCTCCAGACTCTCACCTGGGTGATCCCACTGTCTCCAAGTGGGATGGACATCCAACTTTACCCAGGCATCAGACTGCCTGCTACGGATGCCTTCAGGGCACTCCAGCCCAGCCTTGCTCACTCCAGCCCCTCAAGAGGCCTAGATCCATTCCATGGGCCCCTCTGGTTACTGCTCCCCCTCCCACTGTCTCCAGCTTCTGCCTCCATTCAGTGCCAAGACCAGCTCTCCCAGCAGCCCTGGTCTCTGCTGTCCCCTCTGCCTCTCTAGCCTCATCTCTGTTGCATCTGCCATGTGGCCTCCTTGTGGCTCCTACGTGCTGCCTGGTACATTCTCCCCACAGCCTGGGGCTCAGAGGCCAGCCCTAGATGCTGTGTCCCCACAGCAGACACACAGGACCTCTGTGCTGAGTGAAGTGACAGATGAGTGTGACCGCTAAGGGGCAAACGGCACACAATGGACGCAGCATGGAGGGGCAAATCTCTGCATCACCGGGCAGGAGCCAAGGGTGGGCTAAAGGCCAGTGGGACTGTGTGATGAATAGCAGTCTATCTTCTTTTGGGGCCATGGAGAGTTTGACATGTTAACAACAACCCCAGACTTAGATTTTAACAGGTGACCTTTCTTTGGAGAGTTTTTAATATGTCTATTCTTATTATTATTATTGATTTTTTAGAGAGAGAGGAAGGGAGAGAGAGATAGAAACATCAATGTGAGAGAGAAACACTGATCAGCTGTCTCCTGCCCACCTCCTACTGGAGATTGAGCCTACAACCCGGGCACATACCCTGACCAGGAATAGAACTGGGACCTCTCAGTCTATGAGATGATGCCCAATCCACTAAGCCACACACCGGCTAGGCTCTTTGGAGAGTTTTTAGAAAAAAACAAAAGACAACACTCAACACGCTGTTCACATGGGTGTGTCTGCTGTCAACATGTGTGTCTGCATCCCAGACACATATGAAGACAACCTGCACATGCAGATGTGGTGAGATGGCCCGCTGGGCTCCTGCCACACAGCTGCCAGGAGTGGACCACAACAGGCTCACTGTGCATGGAGCTGGCGCTGACCCCTGTACAGTGCATGTGGAGAGACAGGGCCTCAGAGACTATGCTGATGCGCCAAGTACTCGGGGTGGACTGCCCACCTGCTGGGGAACTGAGTGCTCATCCTGGCTTGTGGGTTACTTTTTTAGTCTATTGGCAGGTGGCCAGTACTGTGGCCAGGAGCTACCATGTTCTGAGGTGGCCACCAAGGGCCTCACTAGTCTGCCACCTGCTTCCTTGCCTGGAGTTACCCTTACTGAGGTGGCACCCCCCATCAGACCCTAGAGGGGCTCACCAAGGAGGCAGGGGATAGCATTTCTGCTGACACACATCTGCCACTTACTGATGGAATGACCGAGGTCTGAGAGGCTGGCCCAGTGTGCCCAGAACTGCCACACACTCCAAGTGACAACCCTTGCTTCCACTCTGGCAGATGTTTTATATTTTATGAACAACCTCCTCATTCAACTTAAGGGCTAGTTTCTAAAGACTGAGACAGTCCCAGCCCACATCTGCACCTGTCTGGGCTGGGGCAGTTTGTGGAGGAAAAATGCCACAAACTGGGGAAAGCAGAGCCACAGGTGGGAGCTGGGTCCAAGGGCATTACCTGGTCAAAGCCCCGCAGAGGGATGCTGCGGATCATGACAGTGGTGTCCAGTCCAAGTCCAGTGAGGAAGCCGGCACACTCCAGGGCGACATCTGCCAGAGACAAGCTAAGGAATGCTAACTAGCTGATCATGACATCGGGAACCAAGTGGTAAGATACCCTGGGCCCTACGCCAGCAGCCCACTTCCTACTAGTCTCCAGACAGCCCAAAGGAGGCTCCAAACACCAGCCACAAAGAACTCCTTACCCCCATCTCTCAAATGCACATCTAGGACAAGGTAGGAGCTCCCTCCAGCACCCATGGGCCAGGTGGCTTCTGCCTACCGGGGGTTATTTGTCCAGACTCCCTGGGAGTTTAATCTCAGCCACCAGGATTGGGCCCACTCTGTGGGGTCCGAGTGGTGATGGAAGGGTAACACCCACTCTGTGAAAGACACAAGGCAGCAGTTTCTGGCCTGTGTTCTCCGCTAGCAGTACCAGCACTTTCATCTTCCCTTGAATGTCCCCCCTCCTGACCCCAGATCCTCTTGTGGCTCCTCTCCTGACCCTCCCTGGTTCTACTGCTCTCTCTAAAGGAATAGGCCTGAGCAAGTGGGGCTGCTCTCAAGGGAGGATCACCTGCCTCACGGCTGTGTCCAGCTGGCCCAGCTGGCTCAGCCACCTCAGTGTGTGGCTCAGGAAAAGCCTCCAGGAAGCCCTAGCCTCAAAGGTCAGCCTAAAATTGTCCCCTGAGCACAGGTCATCCACCCTGAGTGGCCCTGTAAGTGCCTGCTTCCAGGCAGCAGAGTGTACTCCCTGACAGAAGAGAGAGCCGTGGGGGAGGGGCTCTGGGCACTGGGCGTCCACTCTCAGGGCTGTAGGCAAGGCCCTCTGTCACCGGCATGCTCGCAAAGGATACAGCTGGCCCCAACCACCAACCTGTCAGAGGAATGAATACAGAGAAAAGAACAGAAGTGAGTCTCACACGTGGCCCACCGTCATACATAAGCAGCTGTTCTGAGTCGGGGCTCTGTCGTGGGGACAGCACCCTTCAGCCTTCATGCAGGGCACTTGGTCAGCTGAAGTGTCACTGTTGATGAGTCAGCTGAGGCTGACTGTTCAAACAGCTTGTCCCAAGGTACAAAACCTACTTCCCAGAGGCTGCAGCTGTGAAATACAACATGACAAACAGTGTCATTGAATCAGAAAATTGCCTGGTGGTGAAGGATGTGAGTGGTCAGTGACAAAACAGCACATGTGCTGTGAAAGGCCCTGAAACTGGGGCCAACATGGATTCCATGGACATGCTGGGGAAAGCCAGTTAGAGGAAGCAGAAGGGTTTTCCTTCTGTTCTAAGGTAAGTTCTGCCTTGGGGGGGTCTCTCTGGACCCCCTGCAGGCAGGGTGGAGACAAAGACGCTTTGCAGAATGGTGAGGGCACCAGACAGTGGGGTGGGAGGCTCCTGGAAAGCATCATCTACGGGCAGAACACTCTTGGACCACGGAAGGCCAGACCAGAAGGCTGACATCTGCCTGTCCAGCCTGGGAAGCAGCTCCTCTGAGCAAGGAAGAAGGTGCCTGAGTGGAGGAGCAGACACAGGACACTGGGACCCAGCGAACCATTTAAAATGTCTATACAGCCCTGGCCGGTTTGGCTCAGCGGTTAGAGTGTCCGCCTGCGGTCCGGAGAGACCCGGGTTCGGTTCCCGCTAAGGGCATGTACCTCGGTTGCAGTTTGTCCCCGGCCCTGGTTGGTCGTGCGGGTGGCAGCCACTCGATGTGTTCCTTTCACATCGATGTTTCCCTCTCTCTCTCTTCCTCTCTTTCCCTCCTACTCTGTCTGTACAAAAAAATGGAAAAATGTCCTCGGATGAGGATTAAAAAAAAATAATAAAAAAAATAAATAAAATGTCTATACAAATCATGTAAAAATAGCAGTATAAATCCCCTCCTATTCAGCTTGCACACTCTGCATGCACACACACACACGCACACACATACTTGCACGCAGGCACACACATACTTGCACAAAAACTTGCACACATACACGCACACACACTTGCACGCATGCACACACATGCACATATGCACTGAACCTAACGCAGAATGTAAACTCCCAGCCTGGGAGGCGATGTGTGGGTGGGCTTGTCAGATCACTCCTTCAGCCTTTGAACAAGAGGAGGTGATGTAAGGATGGATAAGCCCAATGTCAGCTCTAATCCCGGCAGGTACTAATGATATAATTCCATTTCAAGAAGTGGCGTATCCCGTGGAACACTCCTGCAGGTGCCCTGTGAGAAGCAACTGGCGCAGAGCTTCCTCTCAGGAGCTAGAGACAGAGCCATGGAGCCATGGCTGCAGCAAGCTCAGTACATGAGGAAGCGAGGAGGACTTATGCACCCATGTGGTATCATATATATGCCTACGGACAGGTACATTTTCAAAATTACAGAACCTAACCTTTTTTGGATTCGATGTATATGGTGAAAGGTATAATAAGCCTTTCTTTAAGATACGAGTTATGACACAAACAGATTTTAGCTACTTTGAATATCCTGCCCCAAACACAAGAATAAAGTTGGGTTAGAGAATCAGTGCTGAACACACAGCCAGTACCCTTTGCGCCCTGCTTCCTGCAGCAGCAGCGGTGTGTGCCGACCGCCTCCTTGCCAGGAGCACAGCGCAGGCGCTGGGCAGCCCCTTTGTCCTCCAAGTGGTCTATCCCTGCTTATCTCTGAGCCTTCCTGTCTCTGTAAAAGTGGGCTGTCCTGCAGAGTGAACTGTCTACAGCCTGTAGCCTACAGGACAGCTCCAGGTCCTTATGCCACATTGCTGTATGCTACACAGTCACATGTTCTTCTGATTTGGGCAAAAACATTGTTTCTGCAGCACCCACACACCTCCCTACCCTTCTGCACTATGCAGACAAGGAGTTGGATGAGGAGAAAGGGCAGGCAGCTGCCGAATCTCCAGCTCCTCCCACAGAGACCCCAGTGCCTGGGCCTCCCGCTCCTATCTCAAAGTCATGGGTGCCCCCAACTTCAGGCCACCAGCTCTGAGTCGCCAACAAAGGGCATACCTGGGAGGAAGCAGGAGCCAGCCAGGCCTTTCCTAAGGGGGTGTCCTTGACCAAATGTGTGTGGCTGAAATCTCACAAACAAAACCAGGCATCCCACATGTATGGAGGCTAACCCTGGGCCTTTTCTTGCCTTCATGAGGCAGGATTATAAACCGCTTGATTTTCACTCCACCCTGGCCTCTAATTTATCAAATAATGATTATTCTTTGAAGAATGAAGGATCCAAGAACCTATCCAGAGAACTCCCTTCAAATGGACTAAAGTAAGAATATGCTGGAGCAAAAGTGGAGACAGACACCGGAGCCTCCAGGTCATGAGCAGGGAGACCGCCAGAAGACAGGGGCATCATTTTGTTTTTTTGGTAAGTTTGGAACTGCAGGTGAGCTTCCGCTGGCCACTGAGGAAACCCTCTGCCTGGATGGGGACCTGGGAATGATGAGGCTGAGACTGGGTGCCAAGTCACAGTGACTAACATAGGCCTGGCTGGCCACGGGAGGACAGCAGTGCTAGCAGCAGAAGTCAGGGGGCCGGCCTGACAGACGTGGGGGGAAGAGGACGAGTGAGCTTCTGAGGCCTGGAAACTTGCCCTGTCACTGCACTAGGAGGTCCAAGACTAGGGATCAGCCCACGCCGGAATTCACCACTGCACCCTGGAGCTCCTGATCCGATTTTCCACGTGTTCTGGGCACTTCTACTCTCTGCCTTTCGGTGTGCAAACATTTTACACGAAGGCATAACTACAGTGGGATTAGCCTAATCACAGGGCAGGCTTTCTTGTTCAAAATTTGAACGGGGGGAGGAAACAGAAACAAAAGCCTTAATTCAGGCCCATGAAGCCCTGGCTTAAAGAGCTCTCCACCTGCCTCTCAAGTTTGAAGGCCCCTGATCTGCTCCCCAAGGGGAATACCCACACAAAGCGAGGGCCTCACGGCAGGCACCTGGTCCCTTGGCAGTCCTGCCAGCGCAGGAAATGCCAAACGGGCTTCAGGGAGGCAGCACAGGAGGGGGGCACCCAAGGCCTCCTCTCCAGTGTGGGCCAGCCCCATCCCACCCTCAGGGCCTGTTGCTGGGCCCACTTCCACTAGGCCAGAGCCTCTACGTTCTGGCCCCACAACGGATGCCACCTCAAGGCTCTGACCCCATAACTACTGCCCCCTGAGGAGGTGTCTTTCTCAGCCCGAGCCCTGCATGTCTTAGTCACAGGGACATGCCCCAGGAAATGGTCAGCGGTGCTTTACAGGCTGGTAGCCAGATCCAGGCTGTTGGCTAATCTCCCTTTTGCTGGACGTAAGGATATTACACTAAACGAATATGAAAGTTAGGCAGAAAATGAAAAAATTAGGCGGCAGTGACTTTTCCTAAATTAACAGCTGTGGTTCTTCGCAAAATAAAATTTACATTCAGCTTCTGGACTTAATAAGGGTCAGACAAAAGCTCCTTCCATGACTGACTCTGACAGGCAGCATTAAATCAGTCCAAGTTACAAAAACTCTCCCTGCTTTGCTCTCCCTGGGGCCCAAGGACAGAGAGGGTCAGGCTGTGGAGCAGCCACAGGACAGTGTACAGTCCCGGGCTGGCAAGCAAGCTGGGCAGCTGCAGGGCAAGTCAGCCAGCTCCTCATTCTACAGACCCTCAAGGAGACCGAGGCTGTCCGAGTCGGGAGTGTGAACAACAGGGTCCTGGTTCTCCTCTGGAAATGGCAACTCTGTTGCCTGGTAGGTCCAACATGGGAGAAGAGCCGCCTGTAGGTGTCTCCGTCTCATTCAAGTCCTCTTGGCCATCAGAGAAAGTTCTGACCCTGAAGTCAGCCCAGAGCTCTAGCTCAACGCCGAGGTCTGCAGAGAGCTGACTTCTAGACCTGGAGCGAGCCCTAGGCAGCAGGGCTGACCAGCTGGGCCAGGGAGCCAAGGGGGTCTAGAGTCCAGTGACCTTGATTACCCATCCTTAAGGTACCTGAACAGTTGCAGGAGGCATCGACCAGATGACCCTGGGCCTGAGCAGGTTGGGTGGCTGGGCCCAAGTCCCCACCAGGCTGCCCGGGGCCAGAAGGCCTCAGAGCAGAGCTGGCCCTCCACATGAGCAAGCAAACATCACGGGGCTGTGAGACGGAGGTGGAGCCAGGCTGCCTCGGGGGAACTTGGTACTAGATACCCCAGTACCTGTCTCCTTCCAGGAGCTGTGGAGAGTGGTCTGCCTTTCTCCCTTCCACATTCCCTCCACCTGGGCCACGCAGTGTTGAGCACCACCTCTGAGCCTCCCTGTGTAGGGTTGTACACACCCTCTGTGCCCTCATTTCCTCCACTGGTGGTGGACAGCTTCCCAAAGTGGTCATTATTCCCCTGCCCATTCCTTTCAAAAGGGCTCCTGCCAACCTGGGGGACCCTGTCCTCCCACCAGAATCATCCACATCTCCACATCTTCAACCCATCCTGGATTTCCACAGAAAAATAAAGAAACAAGAATAATAAAAAAGACAAACAAGCCGGACACAAAGCTGGTGTTCAGGTGGCAGAGCTGAAGATGCTAACCTGTACAGTCCCGCCTTAGGCTCTGCACGTGCTGGCCCAGCCCCTCCTGGCCTCAGAAAGTCCTGCTCATGAACTCAGAAACTCACGCTGCACTTGCTGGAGTCATCTACACATGATGCATCACCTCTAGGGGTTCCAAATCAGGTACCAGCTGTGTAGTGAGGGTGTTGATTCTGTTTCCCACTGACTGGGCTCAGGCTTGGCTACCCCCCTCTGCCATGCGTATAGCCCTGAGCTCCTTAGACCTGGACACAAACAAAGGAAGAAAGAGGTCTCCTCACATGTCCATGAGGCCTGGCTGCCATTGTGGCCACGGGGGTCCAAAGAGCAGCAAAGGTGGTATGGAGCAGATGCATGAAGCTGAAAGCCACAGACCCCACCATGGGCTCCACTTGCCAGATCTGAAGCTACTGGTCATTGTGCTCCATGCAGACGCACCCTGGAAGAAGGTCCCAGCTGCTGCCCGGGCCCCACCATGGGGCGAGAAGGAGAGAGAGACTCCTGTACATGCTGCAGAATCCATGAGAAAACTGGGGCCAGGCATGGCCACCAGAAGCCTCCAATAGGCCTTGGGGAGCTGGTCAGTGGACACAGCACCCACTGCAAGAGGAGGCCAGGCACACTGGGCCACCAGCCTGGCCTCTTTGATGGGGCCAAGTAGAAACGTCCCCGCCCAGTGACGGGAGGCACTTGGGGCCAGGGGGCAGCCCTCAGGTCCATATTAATTTCAGCTCCATTTTAAAGGCGAGTTAAAATAAACACGGGGAATATTTATAAGGCAAATAAATCTGGCAGAAACAGCCCCTCCAAGTGTGAGCAGAGGCCTCCCCCTCAGCCCCAGCCCAAGCTGATAAAATACAGAAATGCTACTGTAGACCCTGCGGGCTTATTTTGACTGCACGGAGGAATGTAACATGTAAACACTGACTCCCATATCACACTGTTACAACTTGCATTAACAGCACCGGACAAAAGCTGCATTTTCACAGAAGCATCGTACAGGGATATATCTCCAGCTTAATTTTTTAAAAAAAACCATTTCCTCACATAAATCATGCTCAGAACGAAACGGGTGACTGATACATTGCAAACACTTTTTTTCTTAAACAATAACATACCTAGATTCCTTCTAAACGAAAGAGCTTGTTTAAAAAAAAAATCTTCTAAATTTTTTTTCTGAAGAAAATAAACACTACAGTTTCTTTCCTGACCAAAGTATCTGGGACTGTGTCTTCATGGCCGAACGGGCCACTGCCCCCAGCACTCGGCCACAGAGGAGCAGTGCAAGCCAGGGCCACCTCGATTAGTGCCACCGGTACCCACTGCACCCAGGCCTCTCTCCCCAGCCCTGTCTGAAGACGATGCCAGGCACTCCTGCCAATGCCACAGGAAAACCAGAAGAGAGCCAGAGGAGGACAGGGACTCAACTCTAGATGGAGCTTTCAGACTGGCTTGAGGGGTTGAGTGTTCAGTGATGCTGGACTCCTGCAGCCTGGTCTCCACACTACAGATGAATTGCAAACACCCCAGGACGCAAAGGCAAAATCTGAAGGGTGGAAGCCCTAAGGGAAAATATACGAGGTTTTTTTTTTTTTTTTTTTAAACAATCTTGGAGGTGGGGCAGGCCTTCCTGAACATGCAATAAATCTAAAAGCCATTAAGTGTAAAAAGAGATCTAAGTTACATTAAAAAAAACATTTGTACATTGCACAAGTTAAAAGACATGACATGTTGAGAAAGTCTGCAACATAAACGACATGGGATCACAGTCCTAATATGCAAACCAGCTGGAAGATAAGAGATAAGAGAAGAAAAAGAAAAACCAGATAGAAAGCAGGTCAAGGACCAAGCTGACAATTCACACACACACACACACTCAATTTTAAATGGCCAATAAATACATAAAAACATAACTAATAACAGCAAATACAAATAAAACCAGGTCATGTTTAACCTACTGGATAGTCAAAAATAAAAGAACAGAAATCTAGAAATGCATAAAGAGGGAAAAAAAAGATAAATTTGACAACATAAAAATGTCTGCGTGAAAAACTTCTCCAAGTCAAAAGACAAACCACAGCTTTCGGGGCTCGTGGACGGTGATGGACAGAGGGACACCAAGCTGCGTGAGCTTGAGCACAGGAAGACCCTGATGTGCCTGGGGAAAGGCGACTGGCGCTCACCTGACGGGGGCAGGAGAGGCTCCTTTCCATTTTATGCCTATGGAAAAGCTGATGCCCACGTGAGGAGGAGGGGGACCGGAGGCAGATACGCACATATAACAGGGTAAAGCCTGCCAGGAGGGAGCATGTTAGCAGATGTGTGAAGGTATGAAGGGCACCTGCCCTGGACCTAGGGTTTCTACTTGTGAAAACACCGACAGGTATATGTAATACATAAAAAGCACTTACAACAATATATAACATACACACCAAAGGTTTTCATTGCAACATTTTATAATAATGAAAAAGAGGAACTATTGAAATGTTCATGAACGGTGGAAAGATAAAATAAACTATATAGCACATCCATTCAAGGGAATCCAGCCTCAGCCCTGAACAAAGAAGCTTCATGAACAGGAAATGATAATGGTGAGCAGAGCACATGACTGCACACATACTCCCCATGCACACAACACACGTGCATACACAGCCCCACATGTACACTTGTGTACACATGCCTGTCCACCTCTGGACACACTTCCACCCATATTTTCTTGTTAGGCAAGTCCCAAGGCAGCCCAGTGCAGCTCACAACCAAGCCTCTGCCGCCCTCTGGTGGTCTTTCTGGTCCCTATGAGCATGAAGTCCCCTCCACAACCCACAGGCAGGAGCTGTCTGGACCAGAACAGACAGCTCTGTGGATGCAGGAAATGAACTTAGGGCATTTTCCCCTGCTTGGGGAGTGTGAAACCACTCCCATGCCACAGGTCTCAATTCCACAACTGGGTTGTAGTTTCTGAGGCCTCTGGAACCTTTGCTAGATCTCAGGGAAGTCCAAGGTGTGAACCAGGTGAAAGCGGGAAAGTTTGATTGAGGCCAGAGGGGCGGAGGGCTTGTCCTGATGACCTGAACCTCTTTCTGTCCTTGAATACCCCTTCTCTGATGTTCTTGACAGGACCCACTGAAACCCTGGGGCTCCAGGGAACCCTGCTTGATATCCATTGCCCTAGACAATAAATGTCCGATTCACTTTGTGACACGTGCCATCATTTCCAAGACAGTCACAGGATGTGTCAACAACCCCTCTGAGGGACACAATAACAGGCTTTCTGTCCTCCTCTCAGATAGATGGGAAGGAATGTGCTAGGAGAGAGGACCACACCGTATTCTACACGGCCCTGACATTTATGAAGATGAACCAGCCCTGGCCGGTTTGGCTCAGTGGTAGAGCGTTGGCCCTAGGACCAAGGAGTCTCAGGTTCAATTCTGGTCAAGGGCATGTACCTTGGTTGTGGTTCGTCCCAGCCCTGGTCAGGGTCGTGTGGGAGGCAACAACCAGTTAGTGTGTCCCTCTCATGTCAATGTTTCTCTCTCTTGCCCTTTCTCTCCCCCTCTCTTCCTCCCACTCTATCCGAAGATAAATAGAAAAATATCCTCAGGTAAGGATTAAAAAAAAAAGATGAACCAAGAAGACCCCCCCCACTCAGGCATGTAACAGGTCTTACGTTTTTCCAGGGGATTCTTTCAGCCAGAAGATGTCATCACTTGTAATTCCATGTTCCACGGCACCTTCAATCTATCCAGAAAAAAGGGTCAATGTGAGAAGAGTGTCATTTGGCCTGTGCTGGAGACTCCCTCAAAGGGGATGCCCATTTTGTAGACACAACACAACCAGAACCACCCTATTCTGCTCATGGGTGCACTTCCCTGCTCCACAGACATTTCTTCAGGGTGTGGCCTCTAGGGACAGGTGACCTGTCTATATGTAACTCAGTGTGCCATCTGTCCAGCAGGAAAGCACCAAGCTCTCCTTGGCTGTGCAAGGTGACCAGGGAGTCAGGGCATGGCTAGAAGCTCTTTCCTCTCTGCTCTCCAGGGCTCCCACTTCACCCAGACCCTGAGCTATGGGGAGAGGAGGAGGGAGGTTAGGCGGGGGTGGGGGAGCAAGCCATCTCCAAGGGCACCAGGCTGAAGGCTAGATGTGACAGGCACCCTTGAGGGAAAGCACAAGTGGGCCCTGTGCCCAGGAATTACACAGATCACCCTGTATCCCAGTGGGGCCTGCCGGGGGGCGGTCAAGCAGGTGGGGAAGACACCAGGAGAGTGCTCTCTCCGAGGCCTGTGAGAGTAAAATGTGCTGGTGGAGAGGAAATGGATTTCAAACAGTTTACGATTCTAATTGGCAAAAAAAATAAAGTCAGGAATTTCTTGGGTTTGCTGAAGGAAAACCGAAAGGTCTGAAAATCAAAGGTACTAAAACACAAGTCTTGGCAGGCACCCAGGGGGATGGGCAGCAGGGCCATCCTGGGCTAGGTGTCAAAGAACAGAAGAGCCAGGACGAGGACTGGCAGCTTCTGCCTCATCTCCCTCTGGCGAACAGACACCAGCAGCTGCCCAGCCGAGGTCCAGCAATGGGGAGCCAGGCCGGTCCCCTCCACAGGGCACCCTGGCGTGGGCAAGTGTGCAGCTCTATCCAGTGCCTCAAAGGAGCTGAGAGGCTCCCTGGCCTTCAGGGGTTTTAGGTGGAACCAACATGGGCCTGGCAACTGGGTGAGGGGTCACTGACAGTCACCCACTTTGCCCCTATCTGTGGTAGCTACCTTGAACAACAGCGCCTGCCATCTTACAGAGCCGCACGGCCTGCCCAAGGGCAAGCCCTGTGCACGAGCTGCCTGCTTCCCTCTGGAGGCTGCTCCTGCAGGCCTGACAGCAGAAGGGAAGTCTAGCAGTCTGAGGGCTGGAGGCATGCTTTTTCCTCGGTGCCCCATTTCCAGAGAAAGCACAAAACAGAAACTGGGGGTTCGGGACTTAGGTGTCTGAGGAGAAAAAGAACCGGTCCTTGTTCTTCCATTTATGCTCCACCTGGGTCTAAGTAGGAGGCAAGAGTCGCCTCCAGGCCAGTGGGACCTATGGGCCTCTCTGCATTCTGCTGTGGCCCACGTGAAGGCTCAGGCCTTGCAGCACCCATTTCCTGGGGACCCTGGGAGACCCTCGAGGATGTGGCCTTAATCAGCCCCACCCCACCTGGGGCCTTTTCCCTAGGTTGACCTTCCTCATGGTGGTAAGGACAGAGAAGGCCCCACATGTAAGACTGGGCCAGGAGGTGAGGTTAGCAAGAACTGAGGACCTCCAAAGTTCACCCCTCCATAAAAACAGCAAAAGAAGTGGCAAAAACTGATCAGATTCAACTTTTCCATAACTCTGGACATCAACTGAAGGCTTGTGGCAACACAGGAAACATCAAGTCAAGAGAATGGCTGAAACTTGGTAAGAATGGTAAGGTTTGTGGAGTTTTAACTTACTCTAGTCCCATCCCCCAGCTCAGTGGCAGCCTTGAAAAATGACAGTATGGAGAGAGCAGAATGGAGCTGGAGCCTGTTCCAAGTTCCTTCCCAAAGAACAGTCATTGGTGGACCTTGCTGCTGGTTCCCTGAAAGACCCCACTCAATAGGCTTGTCTTCCTCTGACCTCGCCTGAACTTGCCCTGTGCTGAAAGCCTCTCCCTGGGGAGGATTTGACCAATGACTGAACATCACAGCTGCCTGAAGTGATGGATAACAGTTGACGCAAACAATAGACTACCCGAAAGGGTAAAAGGAAAAGCTGAGGAATGAGATATCCATAGGGGCTGTGAAAAGCTCCAACATATTCCTGGGATCTAGATGGGCAGGCATAGGCACGGGGCTGTGCACACACCTGGGAAAGGCCTGAAATGGCCCTGAGCTCTCACCTCCGGCTGACCTCAGGCTCTGCACCAGCAGGAAGTGAGGGCTAAGGCAGAGTTGAAGGTATGCCTCAAAATGCCCATGGACACTTGGCAAAGACAGGAGATTTCTTGGTTTCAGGTGTTTAAGGAAAGCTCTGTCCAGTCATTAGCTGACCACTAAGCTAATAGCAGAGAATCCAATGGCCTTACACCACAAAGAATAAAGACTTTACAAAATCAGTTTAGAAAAATGACCCAATAGCCATAAACAAAATCCTACAGTGGAGAGAGAGTTTGATTTCCAGGGTTAACACATTATTTAATTTGAAAAGTTCCATTATCAACAGAAAACTATGAGACATGCAAAGAAACAAGAAAGTATGACATTCATACATGGCTGGTAGGAATATGAAATGATGCAGCTGCTTTGGAAAACAGTCTGGCAGTTCCTCAAGAAGTTAAACATAGTTAATATATGACCCAGCAACTCTATTCCTAGGTATATGCCCAAGAGAAGTGAAAATTTAAGTCCACAGAAAAACTTCTAAACAGATGTTCATAGCAGCATTATTCACAAGAACTAAAAGCAGAAACAACCCAGATGTCCGTCAACGGACAGGGGATAAACAAAATGTGGCATACACACACAATGCAATATTATTCAGTCAAAAGAGAAATGAAGTTCTGATACATGCTACACCGTGAACGAACCCTGAAGACATTATGCTAAGTGCAGGAAGCCAGTCACAAAGGCCACATCTTATGTGATTCCATTTATGTGAAATGTCCAGAACAGGTAAATCCACAGAGACAGAAAGCAGACCAGTGGTTGCCAGGGACTGGGAAAGTAGGGAATGGCAGTGAATGCTAAGGGATACAGGGATTCATTTTGGGGTGATGAAAATGTTCTGGAATTAAGTAGTGGTGATTGATGGTCACACAACTCTGTGAAATACCCATTGAATTACACCCTTTAAAAGGGTGTGTTTTATGGTATGTAAATTTTATGTCAATTAAAAAAAATATTTGGATTTGGAGCAGGAAGAACAAGGCCTAAACCCTGGATGGTCCAATGTTTTGAGGCCGAAGAGAAAAGAAGGAATCAACAGAGAAGACAGAACAAGTGGCGTGGAGATCAAGGGAGAACAGATCTGGTGGTGTCTCACAAGCCAGCTGAAGACCAAATGGAGAACAGCTCAGGATTCAGCAGTGTGGGGGTCCTGGTGACCTGAATCAGCAGAGTGGATTTGAGAGAGAATTGGAAAATAGAAAGTAACAATAGTGAGCATGCAAAAAATAATTTTAAAGAAGAGGAAGAGTGGGGAGTGCTGCTGGTATCGGAAGCATGAGCATAGTAAACAGTGTATCACATGAGCCCAGAGACCATGAATGTGGCCAAAGCATGGGGGAAGGCTGGGCTTTGAGGACACTCACATGTGGGGGGTACTTTGGCCGCCCTCCAGTAGCGATGACAATGTGCTCAGCCGAAAGCAGAGTCTGAGAAGAAACCAAGAAAGCCAGAGTCAAACAGGTACACTGTGGTAACCCACCCAGAGGACTCTGCCAGCAAGGACCCAAGGGCAAAGATCCACGATTCTAATTACGAACCCTGCCCGTTGCCTATTGCCCCATGCAAGCAGTTAGTCCATGAATTGCCCATGAGCCGGTTCATCCCTCATAAGGAATTACAAGCAGCCTCAGAGGAATCTGTGTGGTCAATTCAGCAGCACTTGTTACTGAGAATAGCACCAAGGTCCACTGAATGGTCGGGACTCACCTCTTTCCCACCTTTTGCGACACCGCAAACCGTGTGCTCATTAACAAAGCTGGCCTTCACATTAAAGTATTGGACTTTTCTGCAAAATAAATAGAATTTTCAAACATTTCCTATACAAATTCAGCACCCCCTATGGAATTAAATAGGGATCACTGTGCAGACTGGTAAAACGTGAGCTCAGGCTCACAGTCCACCATCCTCCACCCACAGTTCAGGTGGGGAAGGGTGAGTAGAATAGCTTGAGAAGCATGGGGGAGGGACTTGCCATCTCCCCAGTTTCCCTGAGACACTGTGGCCACAGCTGCCAGGCAGGGACAAAAGCCAGGTCTACCCAGTCCTGAGGACCCAAGTACAGCCCTGGTGTTTGATGACAGAAGTGTCTGGGCCTCCCCTGGGGTCAGTCCTTACCACCTAAGCACATTCCTAAGAGGTCCCCATGTGCACCCAGTTACCCCAAAACTCCCAAATCACAAGGGAGAGTGACCAGAAGATAGGCATCCCCTCAACCTTTAGGAGACAGCGAGGCCAGGAGAATGGGTACGCAAGAGCACAAAGGTGGTCGGAGCAGGGTGCGCAGAAGCAACCACCCCTCTGTCTCCCAAAGGCTATGCTGTAGTGGTGGGCTCTTGGCGGCTTCAGTAAACCTTCACCACCACCTTGACCTTATGTTCTCCCCAGTGCCAAGCCCTGTGTCTCCATGTCCCACCTGAAGCTCTGACAGAAGTCCTCACTCACCCCACAACCCATTAACAGCTGCATGACACAGACACAATTCCATACCAGCCTCCTTCTGTGGGCTGGGAGGTGAGCAGTGAGGAGTGGGGTTCACAGTGTAGGGCCTGGGAGGTGAGCAGTGAGGAGTGGGGGTCTCAGTGTAGGGCCTGGGAGGTGAGTGGTGAGGAGTGGGGGTCTCAGTGTAGGAATTGGGAGGTGAGCAGTGAGGAGTGGGGTTTGCAGTGTAGGAATTGGGAGGTGAGTGGGGGTCTCAGTGTAGGGACTGGCAGGTGAGAGGTGAGGAGTAGGGTCACAGTGTGGGAAATGGGAGGTGAGTGGTGAGGAGTGGGGGTCTCAGTGTAGGGCCTGGGAGGTGAGTGGTGAGGAGTGGGGGTCTCAGTGTAGGGCCTGGGAGGTGAGCAGTGAGGAGTGGGGTTCACAGTGTGGGAACTGGGAGGTGAGCGGTGAGGAGTGGGGTTCACAGTGTGGGAACTGGGAGGTGAGTGGTGAGAAATGGGGGTCTCAGTGTAAGGACTGGGAGGTGAGCAGTGAGGAGTGGGGTTTGCAGTGTAGGAATTGGGAGGTGAGTGGGGGTCTCAGTGTAGGGACTGGCAGGTGAGAGGTGAGGAGTAGGGTCACAGTGTGAGAACTGGGAGGTGAGAAGTGAGGATGGGGCTCACAGGACAGTGCCTGGGCCTCTAGTCTGCAGCAGCCAGGCTGGGCTCACTGGGCTCCTTCCACATAGCGATGCTGTGCCCTTGCAGGAGAAAGTCTGTCCATGCAAGGAAGGGACGGTCCAGGTGGAGGGTCCTTGCCACGCCCCCATGGCTGGCCTGTGTGCTCTCAGCCCTGAGCACACCTGCTCCTTGACAAGCCCCAGCTCTGCTCCTTCCGCTAACACGCCCTCACTCCTTGCTGCTCGGGCTCTGCTGCTGCCACCCGCAGGGTAGCCTCCACTGCCTGCCAGCTGCTTATCTGCATGTTCCACCCTGTGAGCAGGGAGCTCTGGTCTGACTGCTGCTGAGGCCCCCATGACTAAGGGCTTGTCAAGGTCTGAAATGACCCAGAGAAGACCAGGGGACCGAGCGAGGCTTCAGTACCTGTCCTGTAGCTGGACCCGGTGCCCCCAATTCAGGGACTTCACGTAGTTTTGAACAGCTTCTGCCATTTTCTTCCTATTATTACACAAAACAAACTGTTAAAAGCTACCATGGAAGTGGTAGCTGTAGGATCCCAAACAGACTATTAGATGCAAATAGTGTGTTAACAGAAACACCCAGAAATTGAAATGTGTCTAAAAATGGTAAGACACGATGTCCCTCCCATGGCCACCACCCCATCCCAGGTTTGGGCCTGTGGACTTTTGGACTCATGGGAAACAGGGCTTGGGTCCACAGTGGTCAGGACATAGTAGTAGCCCTGCGTCCAGGGGCCTGTGTGTGGACCACAAGCCGCCTGCTAAACCTAAAACGGCTCATCCCGAACCGCTGGCCTTTGGGCCAGGTCATCCTCTGTGGGGGTGTCCTGTGTGCTCTAGGGCCTTTGGCAGTGGCTCAGGGTACTACCCAGTAGATGTAGCAGCACACACCTCCCCCACCCCTGTGGTGACCAGACACAAATGTCTGGGGGCCCAGGGTTGCCCGAGTGAAAAGACCCATGGAAGAGCTCGCTCCCCTGAGGGTTAACAGGTGACTAAGCTTCTGCCTCCTCCAGGAGTAGCAGGAAAGCACTTGGGAATAGCCAGGCTCCTCACCAGTCATGCGGGACCTGCTGGGGCACCTCCCAGCCATAGTAGGGGGCGTCTCGGATCATGCCCCCCAGCAGCGCTGCCTGGTGCATCAGCTTCTTGGGGATGCAACCGACATTCACACAGGTGCCGCCAAGGCCCCACCTGGTGCCTGGTATGTTGAGAAAAGTACATTTAGATGTATATTCAGGTGGCTCTGAAGGCTTTCCTGTTCTACAGTTTGGAATTCCTTTACGTTGTGGTTCGTAACTCAAACATGGCCCAGGTGACCCTGCCCTACTGATCTTCTTTGTATAATTGTGTTCAGAGTCGGTTTTAAAAAAGAACGAGAAACTTTAAAGTAACAGCAGCTTACGGGAGAAAGAAGACACTCTCTGGAGACTCTGCAAAGCAGGGGGTGACTGGTTCTGGGCTCAGCTGCCCTCTGTACCATGAACTGCCCTCCCCTATCCCCTTCCCCAGGACACACAGCTCCAGTCAGAGGCTGCCTACCTCGGGGGGAAGGCTCCACGTAGTCTACCACGGCCACCTTCTTTCCCAGCTGAGCGGCTGGAATGACAAGAGAAGAGGGCAGGTGGGCACAACCAGGGAGCTGCTTTGGGGCTGGAGACCCCAAGGGCTAATGTGACACAGAAAAGGGTGGGAAAGGATCAGGACCAGTGGCACCCGCCAGCTCTGCATCTGGGTGTCCTGGGTCTCCCCCTGCCTGCTGCCACCTAGCTGTGCTGCCCGCAGGTCGGAACCCTCTTCTGGGCCCAGCTCTCCCTCGCCTCCCCGCCCCACCTGGTTCCAGGCCTAGACACTGAGCACAAGCCCAGTGCCCACCTGAGCCCAGGGCCTATCCCAAGCATGCTAGGAGGCATCAAAGGAGTGCCACTCCCCAGGAGAGGCCCCAGGCTTGCCAGACCCTCCCAGGGGACATGCTTCCTCCTCTCCACACTCCCCAACAACCCCCAACAGACACCACAGGTGGCCTTCACCCCTGGCCTACCCTCAACAGGGACCCCCAAGTGGGCCTTTGCTACCTGCTCTCCGAGTGAAGACACCAAAGCTCAGGAGAAGTGAAACAGCAGCGCCCGGGCCAGCCAGCCCCCAGAGCAGGAGTAAGACCCAGGCTTCAAACCGCACCCGCTGCCTAGAGACTTCTGGCCGCCCCGATGGTTGTCAGCAGGTTCTCCTGGGGCACAAGTCCAGGTTCTGAGGCCAATCCTGACACCGGCTAGCCAGAGCCAATCACAGGGCTTCCCCTTGGCACTGCTTTGGCCAACCTGAGACCCTGGACTTGACCACCTCAGAGGGTATGCCTGACTTAAATGTCATGAACCCATGAGTGCTCCAGACACTACAGAACATGCTCGATTCGTGGCTATCAGTTAGAACAAAGTTCTGGAAGACTTCATTTAAAAACTCATTTGGCTCAATTAATGATGGAATTCCAGTGCTTGATTTATTTATTTATTTTTTAATCCTTACTCAAGGATATTTTTCCATTTATTTTCAGACAGAGTGGGAGGGAGAGATAGAGAGAGAGAAACATCAATGTGAGAGAGACACATTGATTGGTTGCCTCCTGCACAACCCCAACCAGGGCAGGAGACCGAACTGCAACAGAGGTACATGCCCTTGACTGGAATCAAATCCATGACTCTTTGGTCCACAGGCCAACGCTCTAACTGCTGAGCCAAACATGCCAGGGCTCCAGTGCTAGATTTAAAATCTCCAGCTGCCCTGGCCAGTTTGGCTCAGCGGTTAAAGCATTAGCCTGTGGACCAAAGAGTCCAAGGTTCGATTCTGGCCAAGAGCAGGTATGTACCGTGGTTGTGGTTTGTCCCTGGCCCCAGTTGGGGTCATGTGGGTGGCAACCAACTGATGTGTCTCTCTCACATCGATGTTTTTCTCTCTCTCTCTTCCTCTCTCCCTCCCTCCCACTCTGTCTGAAGATAAATGGAAAAATATCCTTGGGTGAAGATGGAAAACAAAAGAGCTCCGGCCAAGGGGACTCATCAAACAGTCCAATGGCCAACTCCCATGTCTGACGATGATGGAGCAAGAGGGACTAGATGTTCCCTTCCACTTGAAGCGACCAAAAATTCAGACAAAATACATGAAACAGTAGGTTTCAAGGCACGGGACATCAGAAAACAAAGGACAGTGATATTTAAAAGGAAAGGAACAAGGTGAGCCCATAACTGGAGAGTTTTCAGGATGTGGTACGAGAGAGGGCCCTGCAGAGTCCAGCAGGCACCCTGGCTGAGCAGAGGGGCTGACAGTCTGGAAAGACCAAGGCAGCCAGGGTTCCTGGGACAAAAAACACAGAGAAGATCGCTGCACAGAGAACCCTGAACATCCGATCAGTGCACGAGTGGGAAAAAACTATCCAAGGCCGGGTAAGAACCATCCAGAAGGATCAGAGGGCACGGTGCTCACACAGGGCCTGTTCCCAGAAGCCAGCCTGGAGGAAACACATAATTTCTGGGATTCTGGGTAAGCATGAAGGAAGGTCATGCCTCAGTAGTTTAGAATCATGAGTCCTAGACTGCACCACTCCACACCTGCCAAATAATCTTTAGTAGAGGATCGAAAAAGATCAGATTGTCTCCTACCTGTAGAACATGCTCAAAAATATTTCGAGGAAATACAAAAATATCTAGAGCCCAATAAGATTAAGTTAAAAGTGTTTGGGATTCAAGCAAAAATTGCCAGGCGTGCAAGGAAGCAGTAAAATACAAGCCATAAAGAGAAAATAATCAGCCAGTGGAAATGGCTAAGAGCGGACACAGATGTCAGAATTCCAGAAGGGCAGCAAAACTGGTATTCCATATGTTCAGAATGTTAAGGAACAACATAGAAGATACACAAAAGGACCCAAGTCAAATCTGTAGAGATAAAACACAATACAAGAGATGAAAAATATATTAGACATTGCAGAATCTTTTATCAGTGAATTTGAAAACGTGGGAATAGAAACGATCCAAAAAGAAAAGAGCATCAATGAGCTGCAGGGCCACTTCAAGCAGCCTAATATATGTGTAAAGTCTCCAGAAGTGAAGAAGAGAGGGAGGGAACAGAAAAATTATCTGAAGAAATAATGGTTAAAAATTCTCACAGCTTGATGGGCATACAAAGCAATATAGAGATCATGTATCATAGACATGTAAACTTGAAATCTATATGATCCTATTAGCCAATGTCACCTAAATAGATTTAATTAAAAAAAAAAAAAAAGCCTATATGAAAAAAAATTCTCACAGCTTGATGAAAACTATAAATCCACAGATCCAGGAAGTTCAACTGAACTATAGCAGAAAAAAAATTAAGAACTACATCAAGGCACAGCATCATTAAACTGCTCAAAACCAATGAAAAGAAAAAAATCCTAAAAGAACAACCAGAGAAAAAAAGACACACTACAGAACAACAAAGATAAAGATGGAGGAAGATTTCTCATCAGAAACAATGTAAGTGATGCCCTGGCTGGTGTGGCTCCGTTGGTTGGAGCATCATCCCATATACTGAAAGGTGGTGGGTTCAATTCCCAGTCAGGGCACGTACACAGGTTGGAGGTTTGATCCCCAGTTGGGGCACGTAAAGGAGGCAACTGCTGGATGTTTCTCTCTCACATAGATGTTTCTCTCTCTGTCTCTCTCTCTTTCCCTAAAATCTATAAAAAAAAGTCCATGAGTGAGGATTTTTTAAAAAAGAAAGAAACAATGGATGCAAGAAGACGGGGACAACATCTTTAAAGTACTAAACAGAAAAATTGTCTATCTCAAATTCTATACCTTTAAAAAACAAAGGCAAAATAAAGATATCTTCAGAGACACAAAAGCCGAAAGAATACATTATCCCTAGAGCGACATCACAAGAAATGTTCATGGACGTTGTCCTTAGGGTAGAAGAAAAAGGATGCCAGACAGAAACTCGAATCCACACCAAGGAATGAAGAGCATCAGAAATGGTGACCACTTGGAAGATCTGTAAGATTTTTTTTCTGATTATTTAAATCTCTTTAGAAGGTAACTGTTTAAACAAAAATAATAACAATGTGTTGTGGAATTTATAAGATGTAAATAAAAGTAAAATTTATGACAATACAGAATAAAGGCTGGGAGGAGAGAGATGGAAGATTGCTGTTGTAAGGTCTTTGAACAACATGCAAAGTGGGAGGAGGCAAGTGACAAGTTCAAGATGTCTGCACCTCACACCATATTTGTATGTTAACTCAAAATGAACAAAGATCTAAGAGTGAGAGCTGAAACTGTGAAACTCTTAGAAGAAAACATCGGCAAAAATCTTTGTGACCTTGGATTAGGCAACTGTTTCTTAGATATGACACCAAAAGCATAAGCAACAAAAGAAACAATAGGTAAACTGGACTTCATCAAAGTAAAACTGTTGTGCTGCAAAGGACACTGTCAAGAAAGTGAAAAGAGAATCCACAGAGTGGGAGAAAGTATTTGAAAATCATGTATCTGACAAGGGTCTAGTATCCAGAAAATATATATTAAAAAACTCTTTTTTATAAAATTTTTTTCTTTTTCTTTATTGATTTTAGAGAGAGAGGAAGGGAGAGAGAGAGAGATAGAAACATCGATGAGAGAGAACATCAATTGGCTGCCTCCTAGATGCCCCCAGCGGGGGATCAGGCCCACAACCTGGGCATGTGCCCTGACTGGGAATTGAACCAGCGGCCTCTTGGTGCATGGGTTGACACTCAACCATTGAGCCACACCAGCCGGGCTAAAAACTCTTATAACTCAATTATTAAAAAACAATCCAATTTTATTTTTTAATTTTATTCATTTATTTATTTTTTATCCTTACCCGAGGACATTTTTCCATTTTTTGTTCAGATAGAGTGGGAGGGGGAGAGAGAGAGAGAGACATCAATGTGAAAGGGACACATCGAGTGGCTGCCACCTGCACGACCCAACCAGGGCCAGGGACAAACTGCAACCAAGGTACGTGCCTTTAGAGGAAACTGAACCTGGGTCTCTCTGGACTGCAGGCCGATGCTCTAACCACTGAGAAAAACCAGCCAGGGCGACACCCAATTTTTAAAAGGACAAAGGTTCTGAACAGATATTTCTCCATAGACACAAATAGCTAATAAACACATGAAAGATGCATGTCAACCACAATAAAAAACCATTTGACACCTACTTAGAATAGGCTATAATAAAAAAGATAAGAAGCCCAGATGAGGAGATAGAGAAATTCAACTCTCATACTTGCTGGTGGGAATATAAAATCACTCAGCCACTTTGGAAAACAGGCAGGCTTTTCTCAAAAAATTCAATGCTGAGTTACCATACCACTCGGCAATTCCACTTCTAGGTATCTACCCAAGAGATATGAAAACATGTCCACACAAAAACTTGTACACAGATCTCCAAAGCAGCATTATTTATAATAGCCAAAAAGTGGAAACAATCCAAATGTCCATCAAGGGATAAGTGGATAAACAAAATGTGGTCTATACACACAATGAAATAATATGCAGGGGGTGGGGGGAAGGGAATGAACCCTGGCCAGTTTGGCTCAGTAGTTAGAGCACCAGCTTGTGGACAGAAGGGTTGCAGGTTCAATCCTGGGTCGAGGTAGTGTGGAAGGTGACCGACTAATGTGTCCCTCTCACATCGATGTTTCTCACTCTCTCTCTCTCCTTCCACGCTCTCTAAAACTCAATGGGAAAACATTCTCGGGTGAGAATTAACAACAACAAAAAAGTACTGCACATGCTATATATGGGTGAATGCTGAAAACATCCTGCTAAATGACAGAAGACCACATATTTACATGAAATGTCCACAACGGGCAAATCCAGAGAGATGGAAAGTAGATCATGGAGGGAATGGGAAATGACTACTAATGGGTACAAAGTATGTTTGGAGGGAGATGAGAATGTTCTAAAATTGATTGGGGTGATGGTTGTACAACTTTATGAGTATACTAAAAACCATTGAATTATGCACTTTAAATGAGTAAACTGTATGGTATGTGACATATCTTAGTAAAACTGTTATAAAAGTATGAAATATTTAGGGATAAATCTGACAAAAGATGTGAAAAACCTATACATTGAAAACTACAAAACACTGCTGAAATGAAAAAAAAAAAAACCTGAATAAGAGATATATCACATGACCTAGCTGTTCCATTTTTAAGCATTTATCCAAAAGAATTTAAAACATACATTCACACAAAGATACATACACACACACACACACACACACACGAATGTTCACAGCAGCACTGTTCACAACAGCCCCAAACTAGAAACAACCCAAACATCCATTTACAGGTGAATGAATAAACAAAATGTGTGTATACAAACACACACACACCCCCCTAATGGAATACTAACCAACAGGAAAAAAGAATGAACTGTGGATATATACAGCAATGTAGATGAATCTCAAGGTAATTATGCTATGTGAAAGAAGCCAGAAAAGAATACATATAACATGATTCCATTTATACACAATTTGAGAAAAAGCAAACTAATGTATAGTGAGAGAAAGCAGATCACTGGTTGCCTAGGAATGCAGCAGGGAGGGAGAAGCAGGAAGGAGGAAACTTTGGGGGTTGTTATGGGCTGAATTGTATGCCTTCTGAATTGAAGTTCTAATCCCCAGAATCTCAAAATGTGGCCTTATTTGAAGATAGGGTCTTTATAGGGGTGATAAGTTTAAATGATGTCATATGGGTGGGCGTTAATACAATCTGACTTGTTTCTTTATATAAAAAGAGATTAGGACATGGACATTCACAGAGGGACAACCAAGTGAGGACACAATGAGAAGGTGGCCATGTGCAAGCCAAAGAGACAGGTTTCAGAATAAACTGACCCTACTGGTACTTTGATCTCAGACTTCCAGCCTCCAGAACTGTAAGAAAATACATTTCTGCTATTTAAGCCGCTCAGTCTATGATATTTGTCACAGCAGCCCCAGCACACTAATACAGGGGTGATGGATATATTCACTATCTTGATTGTCGTACCAGTTTCACAGGTGTGTACGTATGTCAAATCTTATCAGGTGTCTACTATAAATATGTACGATTTATTGTATGTCAATTATTTCTCAATAAAGCTATTAAAAAGTGTGATCATCCTCAGGGACAAATGCCAAAGACAGACCTGGGAACTGTTCTGGGTTGAGATACAGCTCTAGAGAAATGACACTGGAGTGTACACAAAGGTCCAGGGCTTTTTCCTAGTATAAGGGACAACCAACTGGCTGTGCTGTTTGTTTCCTGGGGTGGCTCAGTGGTCCAGTGAGGTGAGGACCTAAAGTCCCTCTGTGAGCCCCCAAATCAGCCAGGAGACTTCCTAGGTTCCTGCCCCCAGTACAGGCTGGCCCCCTTTCCCACCCTACAGAGTAACAGCAGTGGATAGTGAATTTCCTTTACACTATCTGTGGTTCTAAAACCCAGTATCAGCTGTGAGAGTCATAGTTTCATGGCCAGGGTGCCTGCTCAATTCCCTCTTGTTTTGGGCCATTTCTCTCCCGCCTTCTCCCCTTCACTCTCCCACATCTGCCTCCTTGTCATCTAGACTGGGGGGGGGGGTGCAGACTGCTGGGCACTCCTACAGCAGAGCATAAGGTCCACAGTGAAACACTGGCAGTCCGCTCCCCACCTGGGTTAGCGGCACACTATAACATGATGTCTCAGGATGCCTCTGGGTCCAGCCAGTTTACTGCACACCTCTTTACTAAGTGCCCCTGGGTACCTGGGCCCATCTGGGTACCCAGTTCTATCTGGAAAGTGAGACACAGCCAGCACAACAAACTGTGATCTCTTCGGGGCAGTGCCAGGGCTAAGAACAAGGACTGTGGAGCCAGTGATGGGAACTGGATGTGCAGGAGGGGTACGATTCTCAGGACATCTCAGCAACTAAGACTGAAGGGAGGTGAGTGAGCCCCACAGCTAACCCAGCAGGTGAAGAGCAGGCTAGGCAGGGTAACCACCAGGGCAATGCACAAGACCAGAGGGACCCAGGGAAGCATTTGCACAACAGCAAAGAGGCAGGGGGCTGGAGTGGTGTGAGGGAGGGCGTGGGTTGTGGGAGACATATCCCACGGGTTGGGAGAGATGCTGTGAGGCCTGGGGCTAATGCCAAGGAGGTGAGGCTCAGGCTTGGGGTTCCAACTTGGCTGCTGTGTGCTGCACAGACAATTGGGGTGCAGTGGGAAACAGGGCACAGTGACAAGATTTCTGAGGTGACCCTGGCAGGGAGATAGGACCCTGGAGGCCTCTCAGGGCACATCCCCACCCAGCCCTAGAGAACAACACTGCTCACTCCAGGGGACCCTGAAAGCTTGGTGACACCAGTGGGACACAGGACACAGGACACATACCTTCTTTGGCACAGGCCAGCCCGCCGGATCCCCCACCAATCACCAGGAGATCGTAGTCCTGCCGTCCTGCTGGGGTAAGGGGCAAGGGGTAAGAAAGAAGGGCAGGACAAGCCTGAGGCGCCGATCCCAGAAGGTGACACACAGTTTCCAAGGGGCAAGAAGCCTTGTCTGGTTAAAAGTGGCACAGAATCTGTTTCATTGGATAGAAGACCCCATCCTGTGACAATTGGAGTGTGACACATACACATGGGGCAGAAGGCAGTGACGAGGCCCACATGTGCATAAGTCTCGAGACTATGCCATGCCAGGAGAGATGGGGGAGATGTACAATCATGTTTGCACCTCCCACCACCACCATTCAAGAAAGAAATTTAACTAACAGGACTACTCTGAACTCCAGACACCCAATGTTCTGAGCCAGACAGGATGCAAATTTTTCTTGCATCCACCTGTCTTTCTGTTGTGAGGGTTACCTTGTTATAAGTGAGGGAGAATAAAGAGCTGTTCCTATGTCGGGTAGCACAGCCAGGCCTCTCAGAGTACCTGGTACATGCTGGGCTTTGGAGGGAACCCACTCTGAGCAATAGTAAGAGCTATGGGGTCCAGAGTTTCTCCCTGAAATGCCTTTGGGGCTCACTGTGGTGTCACCTCAGAGGGAGCGTACATCCTCCACTCCTGCGCCTGGCACAGAGGGCTGCTCGCATCTTTTCTGCCCTGCAGAAGGCATGATCTCTATCTCTTCTGCAAACTACTGACATGGAAGGCAGTCAAGAGAGAGCCAAAAAGAAGACATGGAGGAAGGGAGTGGAGGGAGTAGGTGAGGGCAGGTGTGTCCTTAGGTATGACCAGCCTGTGAGATCTCTAACCCAGGACCCAAGTCAGGGATACCCAGCACAGCCACAGGTCTGCTGCCTGTGGAAGAAGGAAGAAATAACAGAAAATTATCAGTACGTGGAGAGGGAGGGGAGGGCACAGACTGCTGCCAGGGTGTTTGAAGTCGGCCGCTGCTCCCAGGCAAAGTCCTGGATCTGCCATCCAAGCCCACCCCCCACTTGCATCAGAGCCTGGGCCTGTCAGTGAGAAGAGTGCAGCCGTTTTTTGCAGCCACCTCAACCTTCCTGGCTGTGGAAAAAAGGTCCAGAATCCTATGCCCCTCAGGAACCTCAGCTCAGTAGGTGCCCCACAGGCTGGGGTCTGGGGCTTATGCTCCTACAGGGACACAGGAGCTCAGGCCTGGAGGAGGTCCTGGGTTGCAGTTGAGGAAGCCTGGGGTGCAGCCACCCAGAGTTGCGTCCAGGCACTAGGCCCATGGCCTGCAGGCAGCCTGCAAATGGGGACACTCAGCTGTGCACACCACAAAGCAGGGCTCATCCAGGTTCCCTCCAGCAAGAGGCATTCGAGGACACCTGAGATTCATGTACAGGTACTTATTATGGATCTAATGGAGACATAGCTTGATTCAAGCAGCCAGTCCAAAGTGGGCCCAATTCCAAATTCAACTCTGAAGAGGCTGTAAACTGCTGTCAGTTACTCTTGATGGTTTTGATGTGAGCCCAGAGAACCAAGAACCAACTGCTGTTGGAGAAAAGCTACCGCTGGATGAGGAGCACAGACCTGTTGGGCAGGACTGAATCTCTCCTGCTGCCTGTGGGGAAACGGGGAGGCTTTGCCCAGAACACCCTTACCTTCCATTGCAGGTGCCTGTCCTTCCTGCTGCCACAGCAGGGTCCCTGCTGAGTCTCCCAACCCCTAAGCCCGGCCCTGTGCCCCCACCCTTCCTGGCTATCTACCAGGCAGAGAGCAAGGAGAGCAGCTAGCCATGTGAATAATGGGCTTATCTTCAGCAGTTTACTCTCCCCACTCACTGTGTACGCCCAGCTCTCTCTGTCTGATAACCACTTGGAAGAGACCAACAGTTGAGCCTTTGATAAATGTAGGAAATCCGCCTTTAAATTCATGGGAAGGGAAGGTTTAGGTAGCCTGCTGAGGAGGGACCCTGAAGGACCCCAGGGTGGATGATACTCTGCAGTGTTACTTGGAGGCAACTCACAGACTCCCCCTCCCCACCTCAGACAGAAATGGCAGCCAGGGCTAGCCCAGAAAGATCTATTCGACCTTTGTGTTTTTAGGTCATTGTCCTGAGCCCAGCAACTATGGCAAGGCTGTAAATGGTGTGCTGCTCTGGGAAGGCAAGCGGCCCACAGGTGTGCCAACTATCCTGGGAAGCCACTTTGGGGAGACCCTGGCAGCAAGTGTTGGGGGACAGGTGACACCAATAGCACTATCATGCTGGTTCCTGCTCAGGGGCTGTATCAGCTTCCCCCATAAACCTGGGACAGGGCGGGTGTCTTTCTGTTCTTAGAGGAGAATCTGTGAGATTGAAATGAAGGAGGTTTAAAATCTGATCAGGTGTCCTTGGCCCTACCTGCTAATCACCACATCCCTGGGCGGGTGTGTGTGTGTGTGTGTGTGTGTGTGTGTGTGTGGCAGAATTCTTGGGGCACCACCTCCTGCCCAACAGGAAACTAAAGACCCTAAGGTCATGGGGTTACCCTGAAGAACCCTGAACCAGAGGGGCAGCCCCTATTTACAGATCTTTTCCTTGGTCCCTTTGGGTTCCTCAAGGCCACAACAGTACAGAAGATTGCACATGTAGTCAGCCCCCCTTCTCCAGTCCACCATTGGCCAAGGGCTTGACCACTCTTCTTCCCACAGCAACTGTGTCTGTGAAGGAGCCCTCACCCTGTCCTTGCTCAGGCCCTTCAACGCTTACTCATACCCTGAGTGACCAGCCCCTGCTCGGGAACCTGATGGCACTCCAGCACTTGTGGTTATGTGATTACTGTCCTGGTTTGGTCGGTGCCCCTTAGTGGCTCCAGGAGGTTGAGCCACATATCCTCTCCTCCCCCAGGGCACCTGCAGAGCAGTGGTGGGCAGTGGGTGCTCTGAGCCCATTGTTCCCTAGTGTCCCCTCACTGATTTCTTGCATGTGCATGTACTGAGAACTTGCTGAATAAGGCCACTAGGGCCTTGGGGAGGAGGTGGCCAGATGTGCAGGGGATGGCCCCTCGTAACCTTAGGAAGTGAACCATCATCATGCTCAGGACTCTAAGGACAGATGACAGGACTTTTCTTTTTTTACGATTTTTTCCACAACTTATGAGAAGCACCTGCTGAGGCTGTTGGTGTCTACAACTTCAAACCGCCTTTCTACCCAACTGAAAGGGGTAGGAAGAATATTAGAATTAATAGAAACTATTAGAAGAATAAGAAACTAATCACAGTGGGGCACTAGAAATAGAAATATGTTAATCATCCTTTACAATTTTAATCATGATTACTTTGTTCTGATTTAGGAAAAGCCCATTCCGACCTGGGTAGGAGGTGTGCACCTCGGGAGTTTAGTCGGGAATGCTGTCCATTCTCCTAATCTGAGGACAAGAGGGACTACCTGACATCGCAGAAAGATTAACAACCTGATTATGGGAACAGTGGACCAGTGATTGCCGGCGACCAGCCCCTGCAGCCCCCAGCCCCATTCCTTCTCTCCTTTTTCCCAAGCATATTTTGCAGGCTAAAGAAGATATGATAAGAAGCCCACCTGGCCCATCTACCCTTTATTCCCAAAGCCCCCAATAAAAGAGCGACTCTTTCTGATCTGCCCAGTGCCACCTGGTACTCTGCCCTTTCCCCATGTATGGGGGGAAGAAATTAAATTTTCTCCCTTTTCTCTCTTCTCTGCTGTGAAATCTTTCACGAGCGCGCATCACCGGCCCAAACACAACCCTAACGAGGACTCTAGTTACTATCTGGCTGGGGTCGGGAGCGAGCACAGCTAACTGGACCTCTGGCAGGGTCACCCGCCGTTTCTCCATTTGCAAAGGGGTTTGACGGTGGCTGGAAGCTGACACTCTGCACGCAGGGACACCACCGCGCGGACCCCGCCCTACCTGCTGCGTCCCGCGCCGCGCCCCGCACCCCGCCCGCCAAGGCCGGGGTCCGCCACCGGAAGCGGCCGCGGAGCCTCGGCCGCGCCGCCGCCCACACCGCCATCGCCGCCATCGCCGCGGGGCCTCGTGCCCGGGCTGCCCTCCGCACTGCCTGCGCCGGCCGGCTCCGCGGCGGCGAGGTGAGTGCGCGCGGCCGGGGGGCCCAGCCCGGGAGAGGTTCGACCTGCCGCTGGGGTCCGACCTGGGGCCGGAGGTCTCCGGACAGGACTGGGTGGGGGGGCAGACTTGATGAGGGAGAGGGAGCTCGGTGCCTGTGGCAAAACCCGACCTGGGGATAGCGGTCCAGACAGGTGGGTAGCCCACTCCCGGAGGTACCAGAACCCGCAGGGTGGGGGCCGGCCTCCGCAGGAGGCTTTGACCGGGGACCGGACTGCAGTCAGGTCCTCCTGACTGTCCATAGAGGGTCCCACTTGGTCTTTGCGCCGGATCAGAGACTTGGGGTGGGCGATCCTGAGAGCCCAGGCCCGAAGGCGCTCCGTGCGATGCCCCCAACAGGTTCTCTTGGAGGCCTTGGGGTACCCCCAGGCCTTTCCTTTCCGGGGAATGGCTGCCCCACCTGGGACTGGGTATGGGTGGTGTGGTCTCATTACGCCGCCCCCGGCCCCGTGATAATGTAGAGAAAGGGGAAGTCACCCCAGGCCTGACTAACTTTTTGTTTTTTCCAGTCCGGGCCTTTTGTGTCCCTTGGCTGAGACTGAGCTTCCCCGAGTGCCTGCTGCTCCCCACTCCCAGAGGAGCTCTGGGGGCACTGCACGTCCTGTGAGAGCGGTGTCATAGACAAGCACAGCCAGACGCTAGCCGAAGCAGTGAGGATAGGTGTTATTCAGTAACTACTGATAGTACTGGAAAGAGCTTCATTTGCTCAGAGGAAACTGGGTGTTTTAACAGGGAGAATGAAGTAGGGGGAAGAACAGGGGGTGCGGACTTGAGAGAGTCAGGAAAGTGAAAAATTACAAAAAGCAGAATGGGGGTGAGAGGTGAAAGTTGGTGGTTCAAGGTGCGCAGGCATGCTAAATGGCAGTCTCAGACTGCGAATAAAGAAAAATTGGATTTATTTAAAGAAAGGGGTTGGGGAATGGGGATATCCAAAGGGAAGGGCTGCACATCACCTAGCCATGGGGTATTGGGTCCATGATGGCAGCCCCTGGGAGCTGGAGTTTAGTTCTTATATGTGTCCAATGGCCAGAAGCTTTTGTCAGTCAGTGGGTTTGCGGGTCTTGGTTGGTGGGTTTGAGCAGGGGCCGGGGTCTACAGGAATGCGGGTGTGTGAATGGGTGCTTCTTTGGTTCCTGGTACCAGGTTGCATTTCTTGTCCTCCAGTTCTCCTGTGGCAGGAAGCATCCCTGGTGCAGGGATGCTTGCAAAATGGCCATTAGGAATTATATTGCCTGTGTAAATCGTCACAGGGGCGTTGGTCTATGTGACACTGTTAACGAGAAGGGGACCTCACACTTGGCAGGTCTGCCCAGGGCCAGTCAGTAGCACATGGGTTTTTGACTTTGTACAGGAAAAATTTTACAACATGAGCCCAGGGGAATTTTAGAGGACCTTTATTAAAGTTGGGACAGTGAAACAAGAATGGGCTGGAGAAATGAGCCTAGGCTGTTCTGCTTTGGTTCACTAAGAAGTCAGAGAAAAAGGGGCCTTGGGTACAGGTTTAAGTGGTTTGCCTGGGATGAATTGCCACTGCCCATTGTTGCCCTGGTTGCAAGCCTCGTGAGGGTCTCTTAGAGTTTAGGAGATGCAAACCTGTGGGGAAATAAGGTGTGGAGGCAGGAGCAGGCAGGCCCAGGCATGCTCCTGCAGGGATTTGAAGGCTAGGTATTTAGGGGAGGATCTTAATAGAATATTCATCATCTTTATGCTGATGTACCAAAAATATTTAGTCTCTTAACTTCATCTGTTCTTGGGTGTAGTTGACACATGGCACTAATTGGATTTTTGCCATCTGTCTCCTGGCGTGGGGTGATTTATGTTATTTACCCTCTGGTTGGGGAGAAGTGCAAATCATTTGCTCTTAAGTGTGCTTGGTTTAGGGAAGATAGGAATTACTAGGTGGCTGGAGACTGCTTGGCATCTAGATTTTCTAAATGGCTGTAAACTGCTATTTAACTATCTAAATTTCCCTGTTGCACTTTTCCTGGCTTACTGGCCTGTCTCAACACCCACCTACCCTGGGTTTGCTAGCTGGCACTGATGGAAGTTAGGTTCCTCTCCTCCTTCAGAGGCTGAGAGATGAGGTGTGTCCTCAGTTGTTGGCTGGAACAGGCAGGCATCTTAAGGGAGGGGTGGGGTCATCCTAGGATAGTTGCAGCCTTGAGCTGTTAGAAACTATGTTAGTGTTTGTTCAAGTCAAGGCCTAGGTTGAGGCCCAGTTGTGAAGGGGGCTCAGAGGAGACAGCTAGGGTTTGGCCAAGGAGAGAGTCCTTGTCAGGTTCTGCTCTTATTGAAGGAAAGAATTAAAGTCCATTGTATGTTTGATCACCTTTTGTTTATTAAGGATATTTGCTGAGTGATGCAAGCTATCAGGTATTTAGTGAGAGGCATTTTTATGGAAACAGAAAGCAAAGCAAACTTAATGGTTGGAGCTGACTGTAAACCCAGTTTGTGAGTCCCAAGGACAGACAGTTGAGAAGAGTTGTTTAGAGTTGAGCACTACGGGTTTCTAGGTGGTGGAGTGAGGACAGCAGTTGCAATCGGATGGATTCCTGGTTTGTACTTTGAATGCTTGTGGTGATGGCATAGACATCAGTGCCACAGTCAAAGTTACATCCTGGAGCAGAGCCTGGAAGACAAAGGAGTTCATGTGGACTTTCTGAGTGGCCCATGTAGCAGCAGCCCTAGGCACAGAGGCTGCCCATGCATGATGTGTTGTGGTGATGAGTTCTTTGAAGGTTATATGGAGGTGTGGGGCTCTTTCAGATCCTGGAGGAAAAGGGCAGCCACAACACAACCCAGTAAGGGTCTAGGCAGTCATGTTTTAGTTTATAGTGATGCCAAGTCAGGAGGGAGGGAGTAAAAGGGAAATAGCAGTTTGGAGAGTTGTACCAGATATTAAAGGAAACCTGAAATGATTTGGTAAGGTCTGACCATATATATATAAGATGGCAGGATCCCGTCTACTTCATAGGTAGATAATAAAACCTCAAAGACAGTGAACAGCACTCGACTCTGATAACCCACAAGGGTGTGTTATTTTTCTCCATTAAGAAATTTCTCTCTACAGTCACTTCCCTTTTTGATAAAAGATAATCAGAATAATTATTCTTGTTTAAAATAGTTATGGTGTTGCCCAGCCAGTGTGGCTCAGTGGATTGAGCATTGGCCCATGGACTGAAAGGTCAGGTTTGATCCTGATCAGGGCACATGCCAGGGTTTTGAGCTCAGTCCCCAGAAGGGAGGCTGCAGGAGGCAGCCAAGCGATGTTTCTCTCTCACATCAGTATGTCTATCTCACTCTCCTCTCTAAAAAATATAAAAACATTTAAAAAATAATAAAATAAAAAATAAAATAGTTCTGGTTTCATTAAATTTGGCCTGGTTTATTTGTGTAACACTGTCAACTTGAGAAACTCCAGGCCTGTAGAGAATTTTTATGAGTTTATTTGAGCCAAGCTGCCAGTTGCCAGGAAGCAAAATCTCAACAGTTTGGAAAAGTGCTCCTGAAGATGGCAGTTTTGCAGCTTACTTTATACATTAGAATAAAAGGAGGAGACGTCAGGAGGGTTACATGAAATCCATTGGTGAAGGACTAAGGGCCAGAGAGAGCAAAGTTGGGGCCTGGGGCTGGATCTCTGCGATTGGATAAAAAGTAAATTGGAGAGCCCTGGCCAGTTTTGCTTAGTGGTTAGAACGTTGGCCTGCAGACCAGTGAGTCTCGAGTTTGATTCTGGTCAAGGGCACGTACCTGGGTTGTAGTTCATCCCTGGCCCTGATTGGGGTGGTGTGGGAGGCAACCACTCTATGTGTCCCTCTCACGTCGATGTTTCTCTCTCTCTCCTCTTCCTCTTTCTCCCTCCCACTCTATCTGAACAAAAATGGAAAAATATCCTCAGGTGAGGATTTTTAAAAAAAAGTAAATTGGAGAGACCTTTTACATTGGTGGGTACAGGATAGTTATAATGAACATTTACAGCATACAGAGATGGTCGGTGGGGAACAAGATAACAATGAAGTGTTCTGTGGTTTTTGCTCTGGTGCCCTAAGAGGCCTCAAAAAGAATATTACTCTGACATTTCAAACATATGTTATCTTAGGGGCCAAAAAAAAAGGCTCATGTAAGGTAAAAGATTGACCTTTGTCAAGGAAGCTACAGGCCTTGACTACCCACCATGATTCACTTTTAGGAGTTTTTATGTTCAGACCATCCTATGTGGTTACTTTCGGTCTCTGAGTTTGCAAGGCCTCCAGGCGGGCCTCCCCTGAGCTTGTCAGGTTTAGTATGTGGCCCCTTTTTCATTCACAGGTGCAGCAAGAACGGTAATTGACCACATAGGCCTTTTAAAATTTTCATTGTGGATCTTTTTATCGGAATCTCAGATTAGACTTTTAAAAGTCTCCCAAGGCTAGGAAGCCAAGCCAAGAACTTGCCATATACTTCACCTAGAGATTTGGGTGAATTCTTATGGTCTCCAAAATATCCTATGGTTCCTGGGCCTTCCAGAAGGGGACCTTCCTTGCTCATCGGAAGACTGGGAACCCTATTAAACCCAGGTGTCAGAGCCGTTTTTCAAGAGGGCTTTGTGAGCATTGTCTCCATAAAGTCGACCGTACTTCCTTAAAACTGTCTGTCTGGCCCTGATTGGTTTAGCTCAGTGGTTAGAGCATCAGCCTGCAGAGCAAAGGGTCTCCGATTTGATTCCCGGTTGGGGGCGCATACCTGGGTTGCAGGTTTGATCCCCGGGGCCCTGAGGTCCTGGGGGAGGCAACCAGTCAATGTGTCTCTCTCAGGTCAATGTTTCTCTTTCTCTCTCCCTCCCTGCCTCTCTATCTAAAAATCAATGGGAAAATATCCTTGGGTGAGGAGTAACAACAACAACAAAACCTGTCTATCTGGTCATATCTAATTCTATGCATCATTTTCAAATGTGACATTACTTGGTAATATAACCGATGTTTTTAATCATGTCCTATGACAAGGAGGACAGATTCGTATTGAACCTATGCAGATAATTAACTATATTACCATGAAAATAAGAATACACAATAATAGTTTTCAATTTTTGGAGGGATCAGGTGGGGAGAAAATAAATACTTCAATTTTACTTACAAAAGTATAATTTGCCAGATTG